GCATCAGAAAATTTTGAAATTTCTTATGCGAAATCTTTATAATGTCCAGATAGTTATCAAATGTTTCTTAAGACACAACTTCTTCTAGAATGAACACAAATTATAATACGAAAACATAAATGTTTAGACCAAATAGCTTAAATCTCATAACATTATATATTTATTATTTTTATTATATTGACCTTTTACCCGTGCCTGGCTAACAATACAGAAGTTACAATGACGCAGCACACGTGCACTCGTGTTACCATATCCAATAACATAAAACTGACCTTTGGTCTTTTCAAAGTAACTTGACTTGGCACTGTTTTAGTTGACTAGTATTTTGTAAAATACAGTCACATTTCAATTATTATACATTAGATATGTATATAGATTATTACTATTTTGAAATTAGATCTTAAACATGTTTTCCTTAAAACATAGAACAGTAAATAAAGAAGTAAAGCAAACAATTATCTCTTCTAGTTTTGACCTTTTTACTCGGTTGCTGCTTGACATAGGTTGCTAAGCCTTTAAAAATTTTGCACATTTAGGATATGAAACAAAATATATTTTTTTAGGTTTTATATATATACATTTGAATAACTAAAAAAATCATAAATTACTACATCAATACCATAGAATTCAACTATAATTGATCAAGCTTAGTAACTAAGAAGTATTTTACTGTTAAACAAATATGAAATTTTGAGCAGACTAAAGACACAACCTACTTCTTTGAAATCTTGGTTTAAAAGAAAAAAATGGCACTAGCCATGTTAGAAAGGTTGAGAAAACCACTAGGGGACATTCTGAACTTCGAATTGGTTACTCATGTCATATATAGAAGTAAGTGTATATAAGGGAGCATTTCCAAAAATGGAAAGAGGTGGAAAGAGGAAAAAGGGTGCCACTGTGTTTGATTTATTACATGAGCGATATCTTAGCAAATAGAAGAGGTAAACATTATTATTTTATATTCCAGCTTGTCAATATTGGTAATTTGAGTTTCTAATTTGTACGAAACTATAGACTTAGTATTTTGACTTCACAAACATCTAATTTGAACCAGTGCTGCATTCAATATACCAGG